TCTCGATAGTAGTGATACACATATTCATAATATTGAAGCCAAAAGATGCAGAGTTGATGATGATAGTGCAACTTATTTGTGGCACTGCCGTTTAAGTCATATTGGTGTAAAGCGCATGAAGAAGCTCCATACTGATGGACTTTTGGAACCACTTGATTGTGAATCACTTGGTACTTGCGAACCGTGCCTCATGGGCAAGATGACTAAAACGCCGTTCTCCGGAACTATGGAGCGAGCAACAGATTTGTTGGAAATCATACATACAGATGTATGTGGTCTGATGAATGTTGAGGCTCGCGACGGGTATCATTATTTTCTCACATTCACAGATGATTTAAGCAGATATGGGTGTATCTACTTAATGAAACATAAGTCTGAAACATTTGAAAAGTTCAAAGAATTTCAGAGTGAAGTTGAAAATCATCGTAACAAGAAAATAAAGTTTCTACGATCTGATCGTGGAGGAGAATATTTGAGTTACGAGTTTGGTCTTCATTTGAAACAATGCGGAATAGTTTCGCAACTCACGCCACCTGGAACACCACAACGTAATGGTGTGTCCGAATGTCGTAATCGTACTTTACTAGATGTGGTGCGATATATGATGTCTCTTACTGATTTATCGCTATCATTTTGGGGTTATGCTTTAGAGACGGCTGCATTCACGTTAAATAGGGCACCATCGAAATCCGTTGAGACGACGCCTTATGAACTATGGTTTGGCAAGAAACCAAAGATGTCGTTTCCTAAAGTTTGGGGCTGCGATGCTTATGTGAAAAAACTTCAACCTGATAAGCTCGAACCCAAATCGGAGAAATGTGTCTTCATAGGATACCCAAAGGAAACTGTTGGGTACACCTTCTATCACAGATCTGAAGGCAAAACATTTGTTGCTAAATTTGGATCCTTTCTAGAGAAGGAGTTTCTCTCGAAAGAAGTGAGTGGGAGGAAATTAGAACTTGATGAGGTAACTGTACCTGCTCCCTTATTGGAAAGTAGTTCATCACAGAAACCGGTTCCTGTGACACCTACACCAATTAGTGAGAAAGTTAATGGTGATGATCATGAAACTTCAGATCAAGTTGTTACTAAACCACGTAGGTCAACCAGAGTAAGATCCGCACCAGAGTGGTGTAGTAATCCTGTCCTGGAGGTTATGTTGCTAGACCATGACGAACCTACGAACTATGAAGAAGCGATGGTGAGCCCAGATTCCGCAAAATGGCTCGAGGCCATGAAATCTGAGATGGGATCCATGTATGAGAACAAAGCGTGGACTTTGGTTGACTTGCCCGTTGATCGGCAAGCCATTAAAAATAAATGGATCTTCAAGAAGAAGACTGACGCTGATGGTAATGTTACTGTCTATAAAGCTAGACTTGTTGCAAAAGGTTTTCGACAAGTTCAAGGGATTGACTACGATGAGACTTTCTCACCCGTAGCGATGCTTAAGTCTGTCCGAATCATGTTAGCAATTGTTGCATTTTATGATTATGAAATTTGGCAAATGGATGTCAAAACTACATTCCTGAATGGATTTCTGGGAGAATAGTTGTATATGATGCAACCGGAAGGTTTTGTCGATCCAAAGGGAGCTAACAAAGTGTGCAAGCTCCAGCGATCCATTTATGGACTGGTGCAAGCCTCTCGGAGTTGGAATAAACGTTTTGATAGTGTGATCAAAGCATATGGTTTTATACAGACTTTTGGAGAAGACTGTATTTACAAGAAAGTGAGTGGGAGCTCTGTAGCATTTCTGATATTATATGTGGATGACATATTGTTGATTAGAAATGATATAGAATTTCTGGATAGCATAAAAGGATATTTGAATAATAGTTTTTCAATGTAACACCTCGGTAAAGCTGCTTATATATTAGGCATCAAGATCTATAGAGATAGATCGAGACGCTTAATTGGACTTACACAAAGCACATACCTTGACAAAGTTTTGAAGAAGTTCAAAATGGATCAAGCAAAGAAAGGGTTCTTGCCTGTGTTACAAGGTATGAAGTTGAGTAAGACTCAATGCCCGACCACTGCAGAAGATAGAGAGAAAATGAAAGATGTTCCCTATGCTTCAGCCATAGGCTCTATCATGTATGCAATGCTGTGTACCAGACCTGATGTGTGCCTTGCTATTAGTTTAGCAGGGAGGTACGAAAGTAATCCAGGAGTGGATCACTGGACAGCGGTCATAAACATCTTGAAATACCTGAAAAGGACGAAGGATGTTTTTCTCGTTTATGCAGGTGACAGAGAGCTCGTCGTAAATGGTTACGTCGATGCAAGCTTTGACACTGATCCGGACGATTCTAAATCGCAAAGCAAATACGTATTTTTATTAAATGGTGGAGTTGTCAGTTGGTGCAGTTCTAAACAAAGCGTCGTAGCGGGGTCTACATGTGAAGCGGAGTACATAGCTGCTCCGGAAGCAGCAAATGAAGGAGTTCATATCTGATCTAGGTGTCATACCTAGTGCATCAGGTCCAATAAAAATCTTTTGTGACAATACTGGTGCAATTGCTTTGGCAAAGGAATCCAGATTTCACAAGAGAACCAAGCACATCAAGAGGTGCTTCAACTCCATCCGGGATCAAGTCCAGGTGGGAGACATAGAGATTTGCAAGATACATACGGATCTGAATGTTGCTGACCCGTTGACTAAGCCTCTTCCACGAGCAAAACATGATCAACACCAAGGCTCCATGGGTGTTAGAATCATTACTGTGTAATCTAGATTATTGACTCTAGTGCAAGTGGGAGACTGAAGGAAATATGCCCTAGAGGCAATAATAAAGTTATTATTTATTTCCTTATATCATGATAAATGTTTATTATTCATGCTAGAATTGTATTAACCGGAAACATGATACATGTGTGAATACATAGACAAACAGAGTGTCACTAGTATGCCTCTACTTGACTAGCTCGTTGATCAAAGATGGTTATGTTTCCTAGCCATAGACAAAGAGTTGTCAAATGATTAATGGGATCACATCATTAGGAGAATGATGTGATTGACTTGACTCATTCCGTTAGCTTAGCACTTGATCGTTTAGTTTGTTGCTATTGATTTCTTCATGACTTATACATGTTCCTATGACTATGAGATTATGCAACTCCTGTTTACCGGAGGAACACTTTGTGTGCTACCAAATGTCACAATGTAACTAGGTGATTATAAAGGTGCTCTACAGGTGTCTTCGAAGGTACTTGTTGGGTTGGCGTATTTCGAGATTAGGATTTGTCACTCCGATTGTCGCAGAGGTATCTCTGGACCCACTCGGTAATGCACATCACTTAAGCCTCAAGCATTGCAACTAATGAGTTAGTTGCGGGATGATGTGTTACGGAACGAGTAAAGAGACTTGACGGTAACGAGATTTAACTAGGTATTGAGATACCGACGATCGAATCTCGGGCAAGTAACATACCGATGACACAGGGAACAATGTATGTTGTTATGCGGTTTGACCGATAAAGATCTTCGTAGAATATGTAGGAGCCAATATGAGCATCCAAGTTCCGCTATTGGTTATTGACCGGAGACGTGTCTCGGTCATGTCTACATAGTTCTCGAACCCGTAGGGTCCGCACACTTAAAGTTCGATGACAGTTATATTATGAGTTTATGTGTTTTGATGTACCGAAGGTAGTTCGGAGTCCCGGATGTGATCACGGACATGACGAGGAGTCTCGAAACGGTCGAGACATGAAGATTGATATATTGGACGACTATATTCGGACACCGGAATGGTTCCGGGGGTTATCAGATATATACCGGAGTACCGGGGGGTTACCGGAACCCCCCGGAGGATTAATGGGCCTCATGGGCCCAATTGGTGAAATAGAAGAGTCGGCCAAGGGGCAGGCGCGCGCCCCTCCCCTCCCAAGTCCGAATTGGACTAGGAAGTGGGGCGGCGCCCCCCCTTTTCTTTCTCCCTCTTTCTCCTTCCCTCTCCTCTCCTACTCCAACATGAAAAGGGGGGAGTCCTACTCCCATCGGGAGTAGGACTCCTCATGGGGCGTGCCAAGGGTGGCCGGCCCCCTCCCCCTCCTCTACTCCTTTATATACGGGGAGGGAGGCACCCCCTAGAGGCACAACAATTGATCCCTTGGATCTCTTAGCCGTGTGCGGTGCCCCCCTCCACCATAATCCACCTCGGTCATATCATAGCGGTGTTTAGGCGAAGCCCTGCGTCGGTAGAACATCATCATCGTCACCACGCCGTCGTGCTGATGGAACTCTCCCTCAAAGCTCGGCTGGATCGGAGTTCGAGGAACGTCATCAAGTTAAACGTGTGCAGAACTCGAAGGTGTCGTGCGTTCGGTGCTTGATCGGTCGGATCGTGAAGACGTATGACTACAGCAACCGCGTTGTGCTAATGCTTCCGCTTTCGGTCTACGAGGGTACGTGGACAACACTCTCCCCTCTCGTTGCTATGCATCACCATGATCTTGCGTGTGCGTAGGATTTTTTTTGAAATTACTACGTTCCCCAACACGTGGTTGTTGTTTGGACTCCCGCAAAGCTCTTGGTTTATCTCAAGCTTGTCGAAAAAAGTACGCCTGGACCGCTCGACGGACTGATACATGCCCGCGTTGGACGGCTAAACACGCCTGAACCGACGGTTGCAGGCTGTTTGATGGTTCGCTTTGGAGATGCCCTAAAAGCGTCGCCTTCTCTTCTCTTTCGTGCATAGATCAACCGATATATCGTGACATACTAGGTATTTTACATATCACACGTTTTGTACGAGACACGACTATAGCGCGTCATTACTTCTCACGCCAAACAATAGCAACCGCTCGATGCGACAATCCCGTAATCACGCCTCACCCCTCTCTGTACATATATTCATCGAACCGTCGTCTTCCATCTCTCGCCACAATCCTTCTCCTCGTTAGTGTTATTTTCGCCTTTCGCCCCCTCCACCTTATCTTCTTCGACGACTTCAAGATCGATTGTCACTTCCAGTTGGCGGAGTGCCGCCGTGATGCCAAGGCGGCACCGCCCCGCCGTGGCTCGCACTTCCACCCCCATGGTTGCATCTTATGCCCCCTCTTTTTTGGGAAAGAAAAACAAAATTTTGACCTTTCTTATTGTTGATTGATGTGCAGGATGGTCGAAAATCTAGCGGAAATTGCCAAATCGGCCAGAGCGAGAGGCGTGGCAATCGTCGGAGCGCCCGCTCCAAGCAACCTTCCACCCCCATGGTTTGCATCTTGTGCCCCTTGTTTTTGAGGAAAGAAATTCACATTTTTGCCCCTTGTTATTGTTGATTGATGGTTTGGTGTGCAGGAGGGGCTAAAACCTAGGAAAAATTGCCAAATCGGCCAGAGCGAGGGGCGTGGCAACCATCGGGCCGCCGGATCCAAGCAAGCGACGGCCGAGATCTCCCCAGGGTGCTGCGTGCACTGCCCCGCGGCGGCGGCGGCTCCGGCTCGGACGCAAGGCCGCCCAAAAGCGGAGCAGGATCGCCCCCGACGCGTCCGTGGGCAAAATTGGCAGGCCGCGCCCGCGCCGAAGTGGCCCAAACCCCCCCATAAATCGCCCGCCGATTCCAAACACCGCTCCACTCCACCACCCCCTCGCAAGGCCGAGCCACAGAGAGCCGCACCGAAATCGCGTCCCGTCGTGCAAAGGGAGCGGGGGGTTGGGAGCGGGACAAATCTCCCTCGTCAGCACCTCCACCACCACCGTCCACCGCCACCCCGCTCTCGCCCCCTCCAGCCTCGCCCCTCGCGTGGGAGGGACGCCGTGTCCTCCTGCCCCCACCGCGCCGCGCGGGGAAACCCTAGCGGCTGCAGATCTCCGGGCAGGCGCCCCGATCCGGGCGGCCCGCGCCCCGATTCGGCCCTCCCGGCGCCTCAAATGGCGGCGGACGGGGCGGACAGCGACCTTGAGGAGCAACTCAAGGATGTCGGCGCCCGCCTGCAGGAGGCGCCCGACGACTCCGACGGCCTGCTCAAGCTCCTCTACGTGAGCCTTCTCTCTCAACTTTGTGTGTTTATCTTATTTGGTTTTCTGTGTCCGTTACGGCTGCCTGTAGGGTTTGTCGTCGTGGTTGCATCTATGGCTTTCGGATGATTGTAATAAGCTTTATGTTTACCTAGTCGCTGCTTCTCTTGATTTTGTCTAATTCTTGGTCCTGGCATAAAAGGAGAGTGTTTTCAGTCATTGGTAGAGCGTCATCTATTGTTGGGTACTTATATGTACATGATTATGTATCTATTGTTAGATAGAGGTGTTAGCTTCCTTGAAATACACCCTGCTCTTCAGAATTGGAGTAACTGCCGAGTCTGATTATGTCAGCGGCCATTATAGCTTAAACTTGCTCATGTGATTTAACAAGTTGATCTTTTTCTATATGCAGGACGTCGAGAAATATCTGTTGAGAGTGGAGCAATCACCTGCAGCAAGCACATTTGCTGCTGTTCGCCCAGCAATGGATGCCCTGATCAAGAACGAACTTTTGACTCACCCTAATGCCGAGGTCAAACTTGCTATAGCATCTTGTATATCTGAGGTTACAAGGATCACTGCACCCGAGGCTCCGTATGATGACAATATTATGAGGGTACTGTGTCTTTCCTGATTATAAGATTTATTTATTCTCTACCCTGTATCCTGACCTGTGCTGTCTACTTTGTCAGGATTTGTTTTCCATAATTGTGGGGACTTTTCAGAATTTAGATGATATTGAGAGCCCGTCCTTTGCAAGGAGGATTTCAATTCTCGAGACTGTGGCAAAGGTCCGGTCGTGTGTGGTCATGTTAGACCTTGAGTTGGATGATCTGATTCTGCAGATGTTTAACCATTTTTTCACAACTGTGACGTAAGAAGCCACTTCTCGTTATTCACCTTAAGTTTATCTATTACTACTTCTTGCTAGTTTCTGGGTATGTTTACTAAGTTTTGCTAAGCTATGTTGCTATTCTCCTGACATGTCTAAGGTGTTATTTTACTTGCCTAAAATGTTTTTTCTTTTCTTGTTATGTGTTCTTAATGGACAAATTCTTAGATAATATGCTGTACCTGCTATGTACCCTTTTTCTTAACAATCTAGCAGAATTATCAGATCCTGGTATCTTATTCAATGTTTTTGCTAAAAGAAGATTATAACTTTATTTATTTAAACTCATTAAACTCACACCAAGCTGCCAATATTATAGCGGTTGTTGCTTTGCAAGTTGCTAGCATTGCCTTTTTATGTTGGAAAATGCTGCATTCCCCTTCCTGGTAATTGTAATAGTTGTTAAAAGAGATGCACTTTCTTTTACATTGATATGTTTGTTCAATTAAATTAACATGATGATGGTACGTGAGACATTATCATTTTAGATGTACCCACCGTATTTTTCTGGACTTGATTCTAATGGAAATTACCTTTTGTCATCCTGTGTTCAGATCAAACCAACCAGAAATTGTCATATCATCTATGGTAACAACAATGAAACTTGTAATAGATGAGAGTGAAGAAATACAGACAGCGCTTGCATCGTATCTTCTTCAAAAGGCTAGAAATGAGGAGAGGGTATATCATTTCAACTTTCTTCATGCCGATAATATGGATTTACCTTGCCCAAGCAAGGAGGGAGGTTCACATATACTAATTTTTTTTGTTTTTTGTTCCCAGGAAACGTCTCCAGCATCTTTTGAACTTGCAGAGAAGGTGATCAGCTCATGTGAAGATGGGAAGCTAAAACCAATATTCCTGCAGTTACTTCAAGTTCAAGGCACTCCCTTGGATGACTACAGCAAAATTGTCACGCTGGTTTGTGAAGGTGATAAGGTTGTCAGGGAAGACAACAATGTTGATCCTTCTGGAAAGGACACGGTCAGTAATATTACTTGCATGTCGTAACTATTATTATAGGTGTAAATCATCATGCTTATAATAATATCTTAGTATGTTGTCTGATGTGTCTGTAATTCATAAATGCTCTCAGTTCTCTTGAATAGACTGAGAGGGGTCACATGGATGATGAAACTGTGATTTGTTTTAGCATGTACGATGAATTTAACAGCCTGATCTGAGTAATACTTAACAAATAATTCATTTGATCCCTGAAAAGGATAATATGTTGGCTGTATGGTGTTTGTGTGGATGCACCTGTTCATACCTTTGAGTTTTCACATTCAGGTGGATGATGGCAAACTTTCGGAAAGGACTATTTCTGATGAACTGCCTCAGGTATGTTTCTATACCCATGGAAGGGGATCCCTTGTTGAAATGATTGATAGTACAGCAACACATCTCTATTTCCAGGAATCTTCAAAACTGGAGCAAGATGGTACTCCGACTACTGCTATTAGTAGTGGTGCAACTCTGGTTGATCATGGTGAGGCTAATCAAGGACCATTTTCTCCAAAAGGACAAGCGTCTCCAAAGGGATCAGCGTCTCCAAAGGGATCAGCGTCTCCAAAGGGACCAGTGTCTCCAAAAGGACCGGTGTCACCAAAAGGATCAGCGTCACCAAAAGGGAAGCCTGAACAGCCTGAAGACACAAAAGATGCTGATCAGTTGAAATCTGCTAATGATGGTGTAGAACCTGTTGATGCAAAGCCCAAGAAGCCATCTGATCTTGATTCAGACAAAGACCTGAAGCTCAAACCCTGCAAGTCTGTGGCTACTCCACACTCTAATGTTGATGTTGACAAAGAAGCTCATGTAGTATCTGGAGAGTTATCTGCAGACAAGAAGGTAGTCAATGGAGTGGCTGATAATGTACCAAAGCGTGCTGATACCACACCCGATGTAGTTAAGCCAAAACGAGGCCGACCTCCTGGACCAAAGTCATCAGAGAAAAAGGCTGCTAGAAATAACCAATCTTCAGATTTAGATTTGAAGAAGACTGAGGAGGCTATGGATTCAACTGGGAAGTTAACAAAGCGATCAGCTAAGGATGATATCAAAGCTTCCACAAAAAAGACTGGTGAAGGAGAATCATCAAAGAAGCAGCAAAAACCCAGTTTGAAACAGCACAAGGAAGAAGTCCTCTCTGAGGAGGACACCACCAAGGATATGACTCTAAAGGTTATTTTCTTACCAGTTGTTGATTTTTGTACACATATTCACGGCGTCTGCTGTTAACAGTTCTTTGCCTGCATTATCCGATCTTTATAAATTTCTGTGAATTTATATTTTTGTGTATCCTGCAACTTTAATTTCATGTATGTTCCTCAAAACTGTCCTTTACTAATATAATTAAATTACCTGTACTTAAGTTAATGCTAGTATATCATATCAGTAATTTGTTGTGGTTCAATGGCTGATATGATATGCTCTCTTTGCTGGAAGTTCTAATCTAGAGCTCAGTGGCATGAGAAATCAGCAATTCATATGACTCTTCAACTTGAATTTAGTAAATGTGATATCATACTTTAGTTGTTCATAACAGTCTGATTCATATACCAATTGTTTCATTGCAATACAGGAAATGGTCTCTCCGAAGTCTCTGACCAAGGGGTCAGGTAGAACCAAGGGTCAAAGTGGGGAGAATAATGTGGTGAAGAGGAAGCGTGAACAAGATACTGAAGAGGTATTCATTCTTAGTCACATGTGCAAATGGAACTATCATAATCCACCGCAATTCCAAACACAGCTTATGTTTGTTTTATCCAAATGATATGATACTTAAACCTTTTACGCTCTTGTTAGACTCCTCGCTCAAGGAAGGACAAAGGTCTGGATGGAAGTCTAGTTGGTTCAAGGATCAAAGTATGGTGGCCAGACGATGAGATGTAAGTGGGGGTGAATATTGCATGCGTCTGGAATGTAGCCTGTCCTTAAGATGATCAATTCCTGGATTCTCCAATTGTAGAAGGCTTAGTCGTTGTTACTAGTACACTGTTAACCCAAATGAAATAGTTGTAGAGATACTACATGCCATTATTAGCTCAGTTCTTATGACTACAGTATGCCTTGTTATGTTGAACACTTCTAAATCTACAGCATAGATGCTTCGACTTCCTTTCATCAAATGACACACATAAATTAATATTCTCGTTCAGATTTTGGAAAGTCTGTTTGCTGTTTAAACTTGAGCCATCTCGGCTCGTTGTTGATGGATCTACCTGGCTGATGCATTTTGGTGCCCTGCTATTTTGCTATTCATTTTAGATTAGGTTTTGAAAGCCTTTATTTATATTTGCAGGTTTTACAAGGGTGTTGTTGACTCATTTGATACCCATTCCAAAAGGCACAAGGTCAGTACACTGTTTTATCTCCCTGCAGTGGCTATTTGGTTTACATGGAGCACTAATTTTGATTCAAAGTCCATTGTTCAATTTCTTTTTTCCTTTTCTCTTTTGGCTCTCGTGCTTTTTGGAGCATAGGTTGCATATGATGATGGAGATGTAGAGGTACTGCTGCTTAGGGATGAAAAATGGGATTTCATCAGTGAGGTATGCACATGTTATTCACCTCATGATAATGTTAGGACAATGTTTTATTCCCTTGTTTCTGAGTAACTGTTATTTTTGCAGGAAGAAGGCAAAACTCCTGATGTACCATCTGAGTAAGTAAAATCATTTTCATCATTCTTGTATACCTGCAGCTTCCAAATTGCCTGTCTAATTTGCCAGTAGCTAAATTGATTCATGCAATCCTATTGTATTGAGAACCAATATGCACAAGTGCACTTAAAGCGGCTAATAACTCAAACCTGACAGGGTCACTATTGTAGGCGTTGATGTCACTATGTTGAGAATACTGCTCATATGCATAATTTCATTAAATCTAACCAAGCTTCGCGGGCATGGTGCAAGTTCTTATATTCACTTATATAGAACCTGATTCCTGTCTATCGTGTCTATCAATGCTGAGCATTTGTTATTCTGTGTTGATTTGATAGTATCACTCCAGTGCTAGCGGACTTCGCGAAGTCGACTAACAATACAGTGTATAGTGGATGCGGTACTGGCAGCATGATAATCAGATTACAAATCTTCCATTGTGGAATTGCTATCGATTTCAGTAAAATCTTAAACAATCAGGGAAAGTTTTGTCCTTGGCCAATTGAAACCACAAACCTAGCTCACCTTACTAACGGCCAGTGGCCCCAGTTCTGAGCACTGTTAATTTTGATGTGTTTGACCAAAGCTAGATATGTTGTTGTGCACTGCCCTAATCCCAAGGAGGTCATTTGTTAAATTCGTGTTACTGATTTCTCCAAGCAGGCGCCGTGGCCGAAAAGGGAGAGGAATCACGCTGCTGCCAGTGAAGGAAGAAAAAATAGAAACACCTAAAAGGTTAGTAATGGACACATATAGAAGAAGCCTTATTTCTGAGACTTGTTTGTGTAGAGCTCATCTGAGACATGTTTTTCTCATGGTGGCAGTGACGGAGTGGAGCTTCCAAAGAAAAGGGGCCGTCCGAAAGGTTGGCGCCCCAACAATGGTGGCACACCGTCTACAACTCCCAGCAAATCAAAGGGGAAAACTGCTGTCAAGGATGCCAAGGGGACACCTAAAACTGCTGTTGAGATTAAGAAAGAAGGCAAGGAGAAAGCCACTGGATCAGCTAACAAGACGAAGGATGATTTAGCTAAAGACAGCAGCAACCAGAAGCTGAAGGAGGTTGGGAGCAAATCTGGCGATGGATCTGTGAAGGGTAGGCCTGGGCGGAAACCAAAAAGCGCTGCCACTAGTACTCCAGTGGCGGGTAGTGGATCTGGATCTGTTCAAGAGAAGCGGAAGGAGAAGGAGGAGAAGGAAGAGGCTGAGGCATCTGAAATGGAGCAGGAGGCATCTGGCAAGGGGGCGTCTTCAACTGGAAAGAAGCGCAGAAGGAAGGCTTAGGCTTGAACCAACCAACCAACCAACCGTGAACTTCCCCTGTAAATGGGTTCGCTCTCATCATGGCACCGTTGTATGGATTGTAAACTCCTTGGTCGTCTTTGTTTTTTACCTTACCTATTGAATTTGTCTGTCTGCTGACTGGGCACCATTGTCATTGTCCGTGTCTGTTGTAGTTAGGGGGCTGTGGCTGTGGCAGGAAACATCTGCAGTAGCTGTAATGTTTAGTCGTGACTTTGTGTTGTGGGATGCATGATGTGATGCTGCAGAGCCTCAAGGGAACATCTAGTTTGTGTCGGATGTTGTTGTAGCCAGCTTATTCATGTTCTATTTATATAGGCTATATATTTGGTCATCGACTCGCGCTTTTTTCTGGCAGATGTGCCGGTTTCTTTTCTTTGTCTATCCTTTGTGTGCATTGCTTGCAGGGTTGACCGTCCTGACCGGAGCACAACCAACGGCATGTTGTTTTGGATTGGAGAGATGATGCTTGTACCATCATCAATTCATCAGTGGTACTCCTTGTTTATACTTACCTTATGTTTTGCAGTGCCTTGCTAATGACAGTGGTTCACGTCCATGTCACGCGTGCATGCTCTCCAGCATTTCTTTGCTGCCTATCTCTCTATCTTCAGAGACTTAGCCGACGGATGTTGGTGGGCAAGTGCACGTTTTGCACTTTGAGCATCGCCCACTGACTTGCACGGATGTCTCTACAACGTGATTCAACAAGGCAGGACCTTCCTGCCTTGCAAGTATGATCTCCTCCCCTCCTGCGCACCTGTCAAATTTTTATCAGAGTAGAGACTACTATTTCCTCGTGTTACAAGCGATGAAGTAGTACTACTACTATAGACTTAGTCGTCCCTTCTCACGTGACTTCCGGGTCAACAATTCCACCATCGAAACATATCCAAAGTCCACTAGTGGTCAACTCACACTTGTAAAAGGTACTCCCTTTGTTCGGAATTACTTGTCTCGGATATGAATGTATCTATAACTAAAATACGTCTAGATACATTCATTTCTACGACAAATAATTCCGAACAGAGGGAGTACTAACTGTAACATCATCTCATCGCTTTTTGAATTCCATTGGCCACCAAGAATTTGAAACGCGTCGAGGGTTGCTTGCAGTGGTTCCAGTCTCCTAATCGTTCAAGCAGACAAAATAGAATTAGAAACAGAAGAATCAAGTGGATCAGGCTGCATCTGCATCCCTGCAAATAACGAGTTAGTGGGATTAGGCCGCAGCCCTCGTTTAACCTATGCCTGCGTGGTGGTCGTTTTATAAATCCTAAATACATATAAGTGCGCGTGCGCCTGCTTGTTGTCTCGAGCGGCCGTGGCTCGAGCCGTCCGATCGCGTGCGATCGCACGCCCACGCCCGCCAGGTGGTACCTAATCGGTTTCTCCCCCGCCCGCTTATTCCGCACACCTGGCCCGGTCATGCTGACGCGTGCGGTGCGCACCCATCCGGTGGGCCCGCCTTGTCATTGACTGTGTAGGCATAGGAGTTGGTGACCGTAGGCAAAGTAGTGGGGGCGATGGGCAGTTTCGAATTTCGTGCCATTTTCTCCTCACTCCAGCATTGTCCTCGTCTCATTCCTTTTCCCTCTCCCCTCCCCTCCCGATTCGCCAGGCTCGGTGCTGGATCTCGCCCGTCGATGCCGTTGAAAGGTGCGTAGGAGGCGGAGGCGTAGCAGTGGGAGGCACCCGATGCTCGTCGCCGATTGAGGTACGCTCGCTGCTCAACCGCTCGCTCCTTCTCCCGCGGTACCGTACAGATGAAGGCCGCGGCCGTAGTTCTCTTGCTGCGCCCGTAGTGCTCCCGCCGCGCTCGTTGCAGGAGAGGCCACGCCCGTAGCGCTCTTGCGGCGCCCATAGCGTGGACAGACGGTGCTCATATTGCTCCCGCCGCGCTGGTAGCCGTAGAGGCCGCGACCGCAGTGCTCTCGGCGCGTCTGTAGCGGGGGAGGCCGCGCCCTCTAGACTCGCTCGCCGCGTGTGGGCCGCGCGCCGTTGTGTTGTCGCCGCGCCCGTAGCCGCAGAGGCCACGACCGCTGCGCTCTCGCCCCGTCTGTAGCGGGGGAGGCCGCGCCCGCTGCGCTCTCGCCCCGTTTGTAGCGGGGGAGGCCGCGCCCGCTGCGCTCTCGCTCCGTCTGTAGTGGGGGAGGCCGCGACCGCTAGAGTCGCTCGCCGTGCCTGTAGCGAGGGAGGCCGCGCCAGCAGCAGATCTAGTGTCTGTGTTCCTTTTGCACAAGTGAATTGAAACCTTAGGTACCGTTGCATTTTTAGGTGGTCCTTTAGTTGGTAGATTTTTTCACCATGGCCATTGAATGCGTTTGATTTTCATGCCCAGTTGCTCAATGAATTGTTTGCAGTTGGCAATTACACTATAGTAGTTGCACAGGGAATGTTTTCATTACCCAGTTGCACAGGGAATGTTTTCATTACCCAGTTGCACAACGAGTATCTTGTAGTTGGCAGTTGCACAAATAGAAGTTGCACAACGAGTTGTGCTTTTACTTGACATTTGTCCAGATACCCAATTGGCAGTTCCAGGTGCATCAGTTGTACACATCAGTTGCACACATCAACTGCCATAAACACATTTTTAGCAGTTATAGGTACAATAGTTGCACATATTCAGTATCTATGTTCTGCAGGTTTTATACTTGGCATTGGACCAGTTCCTAGCTGGCAGATCTAGATTCAATAGTTGCATTTTCACTCGGCATTACCATATCTCAGTTGGCAGAATCAGGGTCAATGTTTGGAGAAACCAGGGTCCAGTTGGCACAAGATTTTTCTGAAATGTCTTAGTGGTGGGATCCTGGTTTTTGTGCATTTGTTTAACAAGTTTTTGTTAGTGCTTTAAGTTACATTTTGTGTGTGTGTGTGTGTGCAATTATAATGATTTTGTGGGGACCTGTTTTTTTGCAGTGACAATGGTTGAAGAGGGAGATGCCGGTGGAACTGGGGAAGAGGTTGTTTTCTACAAGCTCAAAAACGGAGCAAATATGATCGAATATATGTGCTTGTTTTCTTTTCTCCTTTTCCTTTTCTGTTTTTGATTTTTGGGTTTTGTTCTGGTTTTTGTTCTTTTGAGCCATGCAGAGGATTGCATCAACGTATACACGGCGGAACAGGAAAAGGCCTGCTCAGCGGGGTGTTGGTACCGACCCCGATGATGGTGATGAAGTAGGGGTAAGTTTTTAGCGAAGACTTTAACATTTCCCCGATTTTATTCCTATAAATTTTGAATACGTAATGAACAATTTTGAGTTTATGTAAAAGAAATTCAATATTTTTTGTTTTTGTTTTTCTGTGTTTTTTTCATGATTTTCTAACATGAGGCATCATTGTTTTTTTGTAGGTGGAGGACGTACTGCATCCCGTGCTGCAAAGCGAGCCAGAACAAAAGGAAAAGGCAAGTCCTCTGATGGAGGTGGCCCACCCTCTGCAAAAGCTAATGAGGTACCTTTTTTGTACATTTTTCTTTTTCAGTTGCACAGGTTGTTGGTACTAGTTGGCACCTCTGCTATTTAGTGTTGCATATGAAATGCATACACTTGGCAACTGTGTTTAACCAGCATTTTTTCTGCCTTACATTTTTGTGGTGCAATTTTGAAAGTGTTGTATACTACCATGTCAAATCTAAAAAGTGCTGTTTAGTGTTTTAGTCTTTCTTTTATGATAGATTTTGGGATCTCCTTACCTACCTTTGTCAAATTTGAAAGTTGGCACCAATTTGAGCACACAGCTGCACCCAATCATGATACATTTTTGGATAGGTTTGTAATTTCAGAGTGTGCACATGTCAGTTGCACAATAAGGGATAATAGTTGCACAACAATCAACCTGTGGTTGCACAACAATCAACTATGTGAAATTTGCTTCCTTTTTTATGTATGCTCAGTTGTAGACGTATGTACACTAGTTGCACAATTTGTCCGTATTCATTCCCTTTTTTTGTCTCAGGTTGGTGAAGTTGGAGTTGAAGGGAACGAAGGAAATGTTCCTCGGCGGCGTTCACAAGCTGGAAGGATTAGGGTATCACCAGGGAGGTTTGTGAAGGTGAACAACGATCTGGCACCTGTTCAGAGGTCTTTCTTATATGAGAAGATGTTAGGAGGTTTGGTAAACCTCGCAGACACACTGCCTTCGGACTTGACGAAGTTCCTAGTCCAGTCATACGACCCATCCAGTTCAGCTTTGGTATTCCCAGGCAGGGGAACTATTCCAGTAGATGCTACTAGTGTGCACAGGAACTTTGGTTTACCAAACAAAGGGCCGCGACTCAAATACATTGTTGAAAAGGAGTCTGTGAAGGCTTTCAATGAGATGTTCAACCACACTGGGCCACCCAAACACCCCACGGTTACCGAATTCACCAAGACAATGAAAGCTATGAAGGGTATAACTGATAACAAGTTCCTCACCGGATGGCTTGTAGTTGCTTTCAGCACCTTTTTAGCTCCCACCACTAGTCTTTCTCTAAGCCCACGTTGCTATAGCGCTGTGCTAGAACCTGATGGTCTGTTGAAGAGCAATGTGTGCTTATTTGTTGCTGACCACATAAATGAAGCATTCCGCAACATGGGTGAGGACAAGCAAACAGTCTGCTATTGCCTGTATCATTTGATGGTGAGCTCTAATTAAGTTTTGTATCCGTTAGACATACCTTTCTACATGTTTTTTTGTGCTTTTATCACCAATGTTCTTATATGTTTTATTTCCCCTTTTTTGTTTTGTCTTTTGGGGATGGTGCGTGTACAGATTCTATACATTGACGCACTCGAGGTTGATGTGCGAATAAGCCACTGTGAAGTTCGAGCCAATGCCTATGATAAGAATCTAATCAACAAGATAATGAAAAAGGACTTGATTTCGCCTGGCGTCTTTGGGAAACTTCAAGTGAGTTGGACATTCTGCTCAAAGTCTGTAATTGCACATGATTTCTTTTTCACATAGCCTGTAAGTAGTTGCACAAGTCTATA